ACCATATTAATATAATCTGCAAAGTTTAAAATAAAAATGCCAAAAACTGTCGAAATACGCGCAAAGTTGGAAAAGTTACCATCCCCCCAGTATCACGTTGTCCGTAGTTTCTGTTATTATCTTGTGAAAATAATGAACTTAAACACTGCAAGCAATCGTACTTCCATTAAAGTTCTTTTGCTTTGCCTGTCTACATTTTTTAAATCTATGTAAGTCTACAGCATAGGGTTGGCCACGAATCTCCCTTACGGATAGGGTAGGTGGGTCTCCTTGTGATCAGTATCAAGACGTATTTGGGCACATACTATTACTAAGTCTACATTATCGTCGTTTGCCTTTCCCAGTTGCCTTACCCCGTAACAGGTGGATTATAGATGTAGATTTTGATTGACAAGTTTGTAGAGAATGTTCATTATTATTTTTAAGAACCATTATGAACCATATTACGTACACCCTTTTATGTTTTATGAAATACATTTATATATTTTTAATTATATATTATTCAGGATAATTAATGTAGTACATAAGTTATTACGTGTAATTTCATTGGTTATCGCGTATCCATTTTATTTAGATACGGAAAGTATAATAGCACCTTAATGGACATTCTCTGTTAAGTGGTCATATCCCATATCACTAAAATCAATACCTGATTGTTATGTACGAATAATATTTTAACTGTAGAGTTAACTAGATCGTTAACTGGACTGTTAACCAGCATAATGTAACAAATAAATTAGTTTTTGTTAAGGAGAACAATAAAATGCGAATGTTTTATAAAAATGCTTTTTATTTCATAAATAGCCCTAAAAAGAAACTACCCAGCAGTGGGACGTTATATATAGATACTGTACATTTAATATATGAATCTATTCATAGCAAGTACACACAAAGGCGGCATCCCATTTGGCTTCATCACTAAGTATACTGCTACCAATTAAATTTTTATTGAATTGATATTCAATTATTTTTTGTGAAATTACTCCACTAGTTTGTTGATCATAGATGGCGCTACGACTAAAAAGTCGTTGAAAGACCAAGTACAAAGACACGACGCAAGCACATGGAAAAATTCGTGAGGTCCGTTGGTTCGTTCCGTGGCTTAGTTGGTATAGCGTCTGGCACGGTATGCAAGAAGACGTCGGTTCGAATCCGACCGGATCGAAGGAATTTTTTCTCAGTGTTCGATCTTTGTATTAATAATTATACTGCTACCGTTAGTCAAAAGGACGCTTGTGACAAAAAATCAAAACCGAGAAAATAATAAATAAAAGAATCTATAACAGAAACTAAATTAAAAATATCTGCTTTTTCCAAATTAAAAAACGGAGACACTTTCCGCAAACGCAGTTAGATAAACCTATATTATACGCAAAACATGGAATTAAAATATTTCATTATTCATGCCTCATTATGGATTACCCTTTTTCCTTTTCAACTTAGGAAAAAAAGGTTCGCAAAATAGTCCCTACTAGGTAAGAACCATCTTACCTAGTAGGGAACAAGTAACCACTTATGCCTTTTCAACTTAGCATAATTACAAGTATTGTAATAATAAGATGAAAGGGCAAGTACTTATATGTTTTCTAATGTCTTTTCAATATTGAAATTTTCAATATTTTTATCACTTAAACGAAAGATAACATTTCCGTTTAATTTTAAATTTGTGACTATGAATTTTTAGTAACTACATACATGTAGAGCTTTAACTGAGGTTTGTTTTGTAAATGCGCCCATTGAACTTAGTTTGACCCATAGATTTAGTGGATATACTAAATCTATGGTTTGACCATAAAAGTGTGGGTACTTACGCCCTTTTCTCTTACGGTAACTTCATACCTAATCCAATAGGAAAAAAATAATGGCAGATTCGTCTTGTTTTTGTTGATCACGGCAGTACACGTAAGGCTCAATTTACATTGCGGTGGAATGGAATGGAATGGAAGGCGCGCCTTTAGGCTAGTGTTACAAGTTCACCCAAAGCCTGATCACATTTTACTGAAACGGTTAAACATCACTAGTCAATTATAATTATTTAAATACTAAATTAACGTTTAATTGCGAGTTATATATCTATCAAAAAGCTGTAGGCCATTGCATGATTTTAATAGTTGTTTTTATTCATATTGATTTTAAATTCGTAAATGTCATGTATATTTTTTTTATGAATAATTTTGGCTTGGATACAAGTCCTTTGAGCCACGGCTTCGTTTAATTATGTTTCTGTAAATATGGCCACCACAAAGAGGATAGGCAATTTGAGGCGGCGTGTTTGGATTGACTCGGGATTCCTTAGAACGGGCCGATACGGGTATTTTAGTTCGAGATTCGTATAATTTCGCATTTTAATCTTCGATTAAGGCACAATAGCACTATTCTATTCCACTTTAAACTAGATTTCACAAAATAATTCAAAGTGAAAATAAAAACGACACTTCCCTCCAAAAGGCCCAGAGCGAATCATTGTCATGTATACATACTGCTACTAGCCGCGAGTCGTTCCTTCCGGAGCTTCGTCGCATTTTACTAATATGCTTTAGTCATAACGTTCAATTATAATTATTTAATTCGTCAATTTTTAAACATTGACGTTATATAAACACGTAAGTCCTAGAAGTCGTAGAATGCAATTAGAACTATTAGAAAATGATTAGAAGTATTTGTTTTGAAGGAATTGTATTGACATTTTAATTTTATGATCACCAATTACGCCGCTAGAGGCCACGGCTAGTAAAGAAGTTGTGTGATTTTGGGCGGGGGAACGAAGAGGGTTTTTTTTTGTTGTTGATTGTCTGTTTGGTGAAAAATAGAAATAAAACGGAATCCAGATACTATTCTGTGTTTGCAGCGCTCTTCCCCTGAGGTTTAATACTATAGTATGTCGTCGACATCTGACTTCATACTGCGCCTGCCTTCGTGTCACGTCTCGCGGATACGCCAGGCGTCGCCGACGCCAGCTGCGGAATTTCGCGGAAGACGCGAAAGGTGAGTTTTGGCTCGTATTTAGTTTGTACGTTACACAATTCACCATAAATTCATTATGCTATGTACAAAAATTCACTTCCATTCCATTCCGCCGCAATATAAATAATTTTTTTAAGTGTCACATGCGCCCTTTCAACTAAGGACGGCAGTATTGTAACTTCAGTTATGTGTGTATTACACATAAGTAATAAGTGGACCAATAAGTCGAGAAGACTGCTAATCTTTATACTACAGATCGTAACTCTGATAAAGGTCAAAATCCCGTCTTATACGTAGTAGGCGCTGATCGATATCCTAGAAGTAGTTCATAGTGCGTATATGGTAGTGGATATCTATTAACTCCTCTTTAATTAATATGAAATGGACGTAGTTAAGCAAAAAGGATCTAATCCACAAAATTATCAGCGGTTCCTAAAGTCTAACCTCTTAGGGTCGTATTCTAGAACTCTACTCAATGCTCAAGTCAGGATTGCATTGGAAATACGACCCTAATGGCAGGGACTTGAGTATGATTTCGAGTGCTTTAAACCATACTCAAATCCTGACTTGAGCATTGATTAGAGTTCTAGAATACGACCCTTAGATCAGCAACTAATATACAACATATAAACATAAATAAATATCTCTGGAGTTACATGACATTGTAAGTTTTGAAAATAAAACAAGAGAAACACTTTGAAATTTCAAACAGCCATATCTCGAAAGTGATTGGATGTGCATTGGATCCTTTTTGTTTAATTATGTCCAAATATAAGTGGGACCCGTTTTTTTCCTTGTAATATTATTAAAATATTGATAACGAGCTAAAATTAGTTTCTGAACTATAGCACGTACCAATAGATGGCATTGTGTGTTACAAATTTAAAAATTAACGATTGCTAACATGGGCAGATGGCGCTAAACAAAAAATAGTCGGCAGTTTAAAGCAATAAGCGCCATCTAGTTGATTTGTTTGTGATCACCAGAAATTAAAGTAGGTTTGATAAATTGCAGCTCGTCAATGTAAAACATAGTTACAAAAATAGCTATTTGATAGTCGTGGCGACATCTGTTCCAATACGTACTAAATACCCGACTACGCTTTCGCGTATCGCTATTAGCAGGTTCTCGTGTTATTATTGGTCCATGATTATGATAAAGACTTTTGCACTACAATGGAACAAAAAAGGTGTTTTAATAATCAAGGCTATAATTAAAATAAATTACTTTGTTGTTTCGACCCCTCCCACGTAAAGTATCGTATGTCAAAATTGCCAAGTTTACAGGGGAGCCTTTTAAAGTTCTGAATTCACTGAAATAAGCATAACACGTGACTTTAGATTTCTCACTTTTATTCGGCAAATCTCGTAACACACGTTGAGTATCATAAAATCCTAGGTATCGGTTAGATGATCTATTAGATGATCACTCTATGTGAGTAACAAGCTTTGCCAAATGAAACTGAAATTTTAAAACACTTCCCTGTAAACTTGGCAATTTCGACATACGATACTTTACGTAGGAGGCGTCGGTTTATTTCACGTCAGTCTAATTATCTTTCGAAATTGAATTCTATTTCACTGAACACGAACTAGCGACCCCGCCACACCGGGGCTATCGATCGTCCAGCTGCTTAGAAGAATTTTTTCTTTGTATTTATTCTATCTCTGTATCATGTATTAAAAGGTTATTTGATAGGAGCAGTGTGCGCTAGCGCCGTGATGATCAATAGATCTCAACCCACAAACCCGCTTACCTCCCGGACATCTTAACGCTCGCAGATCTTTCTATTATTTATCAAATACAAAACATAAATCTACATATACCAAAGAATTAAACAAATCTACTGCTTAAACTTAACTCGCGTCTCTGACGCGAAAACCTAAGAACTTAGTATGAGTTTAACCTGTTACGCTTCGTAAAGACACACGGTGTCCCGAAGATTTTGGTACTGTACCGTCCTTGAGCCATAAGGTGTCTTCATCCATCATAAAAAAAAAAATTTTTTTTTTATAAAAATATAATCATTAGGGATACCATGTGTCTCTCGGACCCCTGCCGGGTTAAATCCTTTGTCAGGCCATACTACAAAATTTCAAAGATGTATTAGCATTGCACGACAGCTCTAAATACTATTAGAAACTACCCTCTTATCACCTGAGAATACCATCTAAATCAAAATTAGCATAACAGGAGAACTCATTTGCCAAGTTGTTCCTATGATGCGGTTGAAACCTACATTGCTTCAGACCTAGTAACTTTTCTACTTTGTCATTCATAACAGCTCCTGTACATAGAATGATTTTGTCTTTGCCTAACAGCTTTATAGCTTCTGATGTCTTGGTAATGCATTCTTCAGAGAGGAACGGAGGATCTGCGACTATGATATCGAATTTATCTAGCTCGGGCAACTTCTCTGGGTATTTATAATCGTAGAATATGAAGTCTGGTGCATGCACTTCGAATCTTCTGTCGTACTCCAAGAGTGATACTGGAAATTAAACGATGAATGAAAACATGGAGACATAAAATGTGCTGTTTCTTTCTTAAACATTGTGTTATTAACAGACAATATCATTCCTATGATCACGTTAACATCCAGGGTAAATTATAACAAAAATATTCAAGTTTAGTGCTATATAGTGGGATTCGTTCAACAAAAACAGTATGGGGACATCCGAAACCATAGATACAGAGAAACTGTTTTAGTAACAATGAGTAAAGTAGTTTTTTATCAAAAACAAATTTGACATTTTTGATCAAGCGTGAGTTGTCCATAAAATGTTGATTTTTATACCAATTTTAATAATTATTAATACTGATTGACTTAGTTTCTTGTAAGGATCATTTCATTGTATCGGAAGAAAATATAAGGACGGCAGCCCCCGTAGCACGGCTACGCATGATAGTCGCAACGCGCGCGACAGAATTTAAATAAGCGCTCGCTATTAGCTTTCTAAATTAGATCTGATTGAGACAGCCAATAGCGCGCTTTTATTCCAATTTTATTGCGCGCGTCGTTGACGCGGGGGCTGAAGTTTGTGAAAATTTCACAATAACATGTTTTTTATCGCGGCTTGTACGTGTGCACGCCCGCCGCGCACCGTGTAAGGGTGCGCACATTTATATAATCTCGCGGTTCACTCGAGTTGCACAACAAGGGTTACACGCCCCCTTCACTTTGAAGTGTTCGGTCGGTTAGAAGATTTTTGTGTCAAATTTATATATTTTTTATTTATAAATGTATCGTTATGTATATACAATTTCGCATTTCATTTCTATTTCTTGATCATACTCCCATAATCGAAATACCAATCTGCAATACTGGTATAAAATTATCAATATAATATGTGCACTCATCATAGTTTAATACCTTAATTTTTTCAAATTATGTTTTGCAACCTGTACGTACAACTAAAACAATAATGTAACAACCCTACGCTTCGAGTGACGTGTAGGCATTGACGCACCGGACAAACGGGAGTTGGAATAGTTGTCAGATTATAAAATTGTTTTCGTTGTTATACCTGGCAGTTCGACTTTCAAAAATAAATTACTGAAAATCCGAGTATATATACCTGAGGCCCTATCTCCAATTTGTCTTTTAACAGGCACGAATAGCGTTGGACAGGATATGAGAGCCACGCGGCCACCATCCTGCAGCGTTTGATCAATCACTTTCACCAGGGCTTGGACGGTTGGTTCGTCATACCAAAATTGACTTAGTTGCTGCAAATGGAATAACAGCTTTATCAGTGGATGTTTCTTCTTGCTCTACTCTATCAGAGTGGTAGTAGCAGAATGCAAGTGTACATAAAACAGTGTAGCAAACTATGGCCTCATCTGTCTCCTTAGAGGAGGCCCGTGCTAAACAATGGGACGTAACAAAGATGATGACTCAGATCGTCAGATCATGTCTGTCTGATGTTAATTGTTACTTATGTCTAATGTACATAAAGATTGCATTATTAGTTTGACTTTAATGATATATTTGCAGACAATGGCCAAGAATAATCAGGAGATAGATATATACGTGGGTTTAAATTCGGGCTTGCACTTCTGAGCTTGTTGGAATTTAGATGCGAAATAAAATTTTAAATTTACCACGACTTTTTTTGTGAACCGTGGAAACCTGCACACATCCTGCAAAGGAATTTAATGATATGTGTGAAGTTTCCAATCTACACTGGGACTGCGTGGGAACTTCATCCCAAGCCCTCTCATTGTGAGAAGAGGCCTGTGCCCCGCAGTAGGATTACATATCCGTTAACTATTATATTATTACTACATCCTCTTTAGTAGCTTGTAGCTTTCGATAGATCAAATGTATGCAAACCCAGTTTAAGGGTAAGGGGTCTAGTCTCTTTTAATAATAGTTTCTTACCCAATTTTCATCAAACATAATATTCTCTTTTAGCTTGTTGTCAGCCTCTAACTTGTTAAATATCTCCTGTCTTTTTTCTTGTTCTATGTAGAATTCTTGTAATGCTGCAAATGTCTCTGCAGAGAGTGTTGGAATGTCATCATCGTCTTCCATTGTTTTCTGCAATATATTGACATGTTAATGTTTGGTCTAACTATCACTGAGACCAGATTGTCAGAGAGATAAATATGTAAGTTGTAAATAAAGAGATGAGTGAGAAATAGAGAAGACCTACCATGAATTGTTATTTCAGACATAGTGTCTAAAGTGAAAAAATTTTACTTTGAACCATATACTAAAGGTTATTAAACAGCTTGTGCATACTTGGATGACAAAAATCTGTGGTAGTGACCCGGTTAGCTCTTGCAGGTATTTTTGGTCAAAGTAGTTTTGAAAAAAATATTGTAAATTTTAAATATATGTCGGACAAGTCATGGTCGAAAGCTACCACAGAATGGATCCACAAAGACAGAAAAAGACCACGCAGCAAACTATAGCGTCGATGGAGAGACGAGCAAAACGCGCACTAAAAAGATTGGACCTCAGTGGTGCAGAACAGAGAGGTGTGGATAGAAGGGAGGGAGGCCTTTGCCCAGTAGTGGAACGGTATGGGATTTTAAAACAAAAGATAAATGTCATTTGAATACATAAAGAGCAACCAAGATTGTTATTATACATTAAAAAAACCCTAGTTTCTTCCTCATTTTTCTCAGAGGAATCTGCCTTACAAATGAGCAGTCAAGTTTAATCAATATGATTTCAAGTGTTATTTGCTTACGTATGAAATAAAAATAATTTAACTTAGACATGAGAAACACACCAGTTAACCTACCAGCACTGAAGCAGTCTAGATTACCTTATTGTGGTACACAACTGTGATTTATAAAATTTTTTTAAATATTCAGAGTTATAGGTTTACCTTCACATTTGTAAGACATATGATATAGTAAACTAGAAAACTACTATAGATGGTTGTTTAAGAGTCCACTGGACAAGGAATGGTTTACCCATGCTTTCGATTATAAAATGTTAGGCAAGCAAATCCGGAAATACCTAGAGTTAATTTGTGTATGATGTTAGGCGTTGGGGATACAAGGGTGGCCTAATAATATTGCCAGTGCCTTCTCAGAATGGAGCTTCACACGCTCATCAAGAGCCAGCATTAGATATGGAGATGTAGAGGAGTTTCAACTGCCTTGTGGAGGAATCTACACTGTTTCCTCTCTGCCCAAGATTTTACATGTGCTTGTTCAAGCCACAGTGCTCTGTTAAGGACCATTTTGCCCAGTGCTAGAGCTACAGGAGCTATGAAGTGCTAGAGCTATACCTACTGCCGCTATTAGTGACAAGGGCGCATGTGACCTATTTTTATTTTTTGCTATGTAAAGTATGAAGTTAACGCAAGAAAAAACTACATTTTTTTAATTTAATTTTTTTTAACATTATTTTCTCTGGTTTCAGATTTATCACAAGCGCCCTTTCCACTAACGGCGGTAGTATAGGTGTTTATCTTTATTTTATTTTTCGTTTATTGTTTAGAGTTCCTTTTTTCAAATGATTTTATTTTTATATATCTGTCCTTATATAAATGCAGTAAACTAGCTACCGCGCCTATTAATCATAGAATAAATTATCATTCGTCTCTGCCAAACAACACTAATCATATGTTAAAGAAGATAATACTTTTCATTTTACCGCATAAGAAATTAGATTGCTTTCAGAAATCAACAATATAAAATTTACATATTATCTAACTCGATCTAGATGCCTGCGAGCCATTACCGGTGAATTACGCAAAGTATTACGCTCTAAACAGACTTGAACGGTACAATATCGCTCACTGACAGATAAATTTAGGTTAGTTCTCTCTGAAACGCACGCGAGCAAGCAAACTAGCGACGGAAAAATAATGGACAATAATGCGCTCACCTAGTGCTAACGAGGTTACCGATGCGCAAAAAGAAATCTAAACAATGCCTGGTAAGTGATAAAATAAAAATTAGACCACTTTTTGTAAATGAAATATGCAAAAAACGCAAATAAAGTACATAATTCTCGATTTCGTTTGACGTTTCAGTTTCTTCATTTGACATTGACATATCCAGTGTTGCCTAATAAAAATTTAATTGCAATATTACTTTTAAAATTGAAATCCTTTAAAAATGAATTGCAATCTTACTTTTAAAATCAACATCCTACTTTTATTCAATTAAGCGTAGAATCACGAAAACATCAAGTTAGACACCAATGATTTATATATGAGATCATTGTTTGACACAATACCATTCTTATTGTGAGCTGCAAAGTTTAATTTAAATCTCAAGATTAATGTGATCGTGACTCTTTACTATTAGTGATTTATTTGTTTATTATTATTTTCAGAACATTTAGTTCAACATGGAATTTGATAATTTAAAAGTATTACCTCTCCACAAGTATCCTGAATACCTCAAAGAAACCTGCGATCTCATAAATGACGAATGGCCAAGAAGCGAAACTGCCAGAATGATGTCACTGCGAGCATCGTCCGACAACCTTCCTTCTAGTTTAATTCTGATCAACGACAAGAAATTAGTTTTAGGACATTGTAAACTCACACCAATACCTACAATGCCAGAAAGTTGTTTCATAGAAACTGTAGTTATTAGCAAATCTTTTCGTGGTATGAAGTTGGGTACATATTTGATGAGGAAAGTCGAAGAGCATTGTAAAAATAAACTTGATTTAAGCATGATACATTTATCTACAAAAGGACAGGAGAGCTTTTACGAAAAATTAGGATATAAAATTTGTGCGCCTGTATCAATTTACGGTACTCGTATACCGAATTATAGACCTACGGAGCCTAGCCATAAGGAAACCCAAGTGCCAGTAAGGAGTGCCCCTTCAACAGGGGCTCCGCCACCGCCGCCGCCCCCACCGATGCCAAGAAACGAAAATTTGATCAACAATAACATTGTAAAAACTAACAAGACTTTTATGTTCAAGTATTTAAGTAAAGTTTAGACTTAGACATTTCGTATTAAGTTTAAATAAATTGGAAACTGCGCCGGAATAAACGGGTTTTCTAAAGAGAATATGCGCCTGCGAGAAAATGCTGGCAATACTTACTAAAAATTCCCAAAAATTCAACAAGCCAATGTAATTATGTCTTATCTCTTTGCAACAAGTGACGTCGCACTGTTAATACAATAGTGTATTAACTCAAAAAGTGTATTTTCTCAGAACCGATGACAAACGAATTACTCGCTTCCCATGAAAGATTATTAAAATTTATGTATGCATAGGTTATAGTTTATTACAGACACTTTTAAACAACTTCCTACTTGCCAAATATATTTAAAAATAAAAAGGAAAACAATATTTAATATTTTCGAATAACGACTGTTTTGGCCTGAACTGGCTCACATAAAGTTTATTATTATATCTAATTGTTTCTTACAATATTCTAACGACGGTTTTATAGACGTGTAGTAGTTCAGTAAACTAATGACTTAATATTGAATTTTACATATGTTGAGTTACAACACTATTGTAATAGCAGTGCGGTTCCATAAAATGTTCGATACTCTGGGCAAACTACACAGGAAATTACACACTTTTTCCAAAATGGAGTAGTACCAGTAAGACCTGCCGACATTTCCATCTTAGCTCAGGCGTTCATCAGGAATATGATTACAAAAAGCTTATAACGAAATCTTAACACCTGTCAGAATGGTATTTCAATCGGTGACTTTTATTGCAACTTAATTCAAACATTAACTACCTTATTTATTTATTCACGTCTTCTGTTTGTCATACATGAGGTCAGTGTTGAACGTAAGGTCACAAATTACTCAATACTTACTACGTAACAGATACATCACTCTCATACAAAATCGAAAATACCTTCGATTACTACATCTGCCTAATGACACCACGCGTTTACTACGAGAAAAAAAGAACTTAAGTACGCGCTCAGAGAGGTGAAAATAACGTTGCCCGGCGTGCGCAGTCGTGCGGAACCGAATGCAGGGGTCGTACAAGGATTGTAATATAAATTAAAGACTTCTCTGAGCGCTTGCACTGTCGGCGATACATTCAGCAGTAGGCAATTATCGCGTAACCTCGAGCGAGTGATGGAACCCTGGTAAGGACTATAGATTAATAAGAAGAAAGATTACGATTTCAAGTTGAAAGTGAATAGGCATTATTTACGCGTGCATGCTGCTTTGTCGACTTCATCGTCGTTTTCCATCAGGTGAGATGACAGTGAAATGCTCGCATATTAAAAAAAAAGATTCGGTCTTTTTTTATTTTTAGCAAGCCGAAGTCGATAGTGCCAACAACTTTCTCGATGTACATAGATTATGAAAGAAAAACCAAGCAAAAAAGTGAATTTACAAAGGCGAAAGCATAGCTCATGGTCTGAATACCGCATAAATTTCTCCATAATTCGTGAAGTCTGATAAAGCAGCAAGAGTTTGACTCACACAGGCAGAGCTCGTATACTCGTTGTCTGGTTTAGTATCATCATTATTATAGCAGTAAATCATTAAGCTCAATTTACATTCCAGCAGAAGGGAATGGAATCGAATTTCTGCGGCCGGGTAACGTGAGCATTACTGCGTTTCTATTTTGAAGGGCGAGAACGCTGGTGAAATTACAGACACTTGGAACTTGTCAAGTTATGTCTCAGGGCGACGGGCGCAGTGGCAGTGTCCCTAAGATCTTTGCGATTTAAAGCTCTGAGTGAAACTGCAACTGTCATGAACAGGCCTGTAGCTTACCACCAGGTGCACGACTTATACGATCTGTCACTTGGTGTCATAAAAAAGTTGCGGGAATCCCAGATATTCCGCGAGAATTCTCGAGGAGATGCGCAACCTGTTTTTTGGCTCGTATCTACTAAAGCAAACTATAGCAAAAATACTTCACGTCCGTTCCATTCCGCAGTAAAATAAGCTTTAATGAAATGGAAAGATTAGATCAAAAGAGCCATAGAAAACTTTGCAACCTTTTGAGTACCAGGAAAACAGTAGTATGGTTGACGAAAGTAACTTCAGGAATTAAATTTGTAATCGCCACTGTTGTTATAAAAAATCAGTATTTGAAATTAACTGTAGTTTATCTTTATCCTTTTAAATTGATATATCTATTACATCTCATTAAAATTCGTAAACAAAGACATGAATTAACAACATTTTATTAAAAACTTAAAAAATATAATTTATTTAACTTCATTTATTCCTAAGTTCATTCACTATTCAATCCCATATAGAGTTGTGAAACTCTCGTCTATCGAACAATAATTCTCTACGTATGGGCGTCTCTTTTGCTGGCGGATGTCTGTGTAATAATTGCAGGACGCCGGTGCCGATGGCAGCTGGAACTCCTAATATAATAGATTCGGATACTCCTTCGATGCAGTCTTGTTGTCCGTAGTAGGCAGCGTCGAATAAGTGGTCGGCAGTTTTTTCGAACTGTTGAAGATAAATGTACTTTAAAAAGAACAATTCTAATGAAATTAATCGCGGTAAAGCCATATGATACGTATACAAACATGAAATGAAGGGTTTTTCAATAAGAACTTTGTTTTGTAAATCAAAATAAAACAATGAATTTAGATGACAATGATTCAAATTTTTATTGTATTACAAAAGTAAGGTTTGGCAATTATGAATGAAAAATGATATCTGATAAATGTCCACGACGACCACAGTTACAGGTGTCGATTCTTTCATCAAAGTTTTTAATCATTTTTTGACAAAATGGTGGGCCTATTCCGTTAATCACTTCACAAATTTTGAGTAAAGATATCTAACTGGGTGATAAAACTTTCACATATTTCTCATAGATGGCGCTACGACTAAAAAGTCGTTGAAAAAACCAAATGCAAAGATACGACGCATGCACATAGAAAAATTCGTGAGGTCCGCTGGTTCGTTCCGTGGCTTAGTTGGTAAAGCGTCTGGCACGGTAAGCTAGAAGACGTCGGTTCGAATCCAGCGGGATCCAAGGATTTTTTTCTGTGTGTTCGATCTTTGTATTAATAAATATAACAAACTTATAATGTACAATAATAATGCTGTATGCACAAGTATTAGGTCTACATTCTAGATTAAGACCATAAATTGTATCTCAACATGTTCCACTGACTGTTTTGTACATCCAATAAAATAAAACAAAAAATAGAATATATGCAGGCTGTATATTTGAAAGTGAGACATACTTATAGAGTGCGTTATATTCCTGATTCTGAACCCAAAGAAATAATAAACTAGTGAACTTAAACTTTATAAAAAATATTCTTTTTTTATCGACTACTACTTGTGAACAGCATTAGTTATCGAAATCTATGCACATCGACTATGACTTTGTTCTCTGGCACGGCGGCGAAAAACAAAGTACAGGTCGGGGGTGGGGGCGCGGTTTGCGGAGACAGTGCACGCGCGATCTTAGTCTAACGAAGACACGTAAATTATTTGTACTTCCGCTCGCCCGATCGCCGCAAAATGGATATTTATTCCAACTTCTATTTATTCGAACTGACTGAGATAGTGCGACTTTACGCAATAAGTGGTGATGGTGTGAGGCAAGCTATTGAAATGTTCGGAGAAATGTTCCTAAATCGGAGTTTACGCGGCGGAGGTTTACAGTGTCGAAGTGTTGCGTGAGAGGATTATCTCAGCATTTTACACTGTGAGACAAAATGTATTTGTGTTGAACAATTTAAAACAAAATTTAATATGCCGTGCTAGACTATGCATTGTGGAAAACGGTGGACATGTGACATGTAGCCTGTAACTAATTTTTTGATAATTTTGTGGATTGGATCCTCTTTGTTTAACGACGTCCAATTCTGAATTTGAGGCACTCATGTTCAAACAACCTTCCGTGTGACGACCCGCGATATTGAACGCGAATGGACCACGACATTATGCGAATAATTATGCGTCCGTGCACGTCGTGTGGCGAGCGTGCACACATACAAGCCTCACTACAACATTTCATATGGAGTTACGGTCTTGTTTTATTATACTATGATAATGCTTTTTAAAGTCGACATAAGACTCATGTTATCTCAGCCGAGTCAGCCCCATATCTTTCTTCATTCGTTTTGATTATAGTGACCCTCCCTACCGACCCTTAAGGTATACTAGAAGGGCACTATAACCTGTGCGTGCACAGGAACCTTCTACGTTCAGGTTCTGAGACCGGTGTCACTGACTTCACCCGGTTCTCAAGAGGCTAGTGGACCGTCCCGGATGCACGTACAGTATTCTCCCTATGTTCCAGGTAGGTACTGGAGCTATAGGCACGCTCACTTCCCGTTGCGCATTTCACAAGTACCGGTTGCCACCGCTAAGCCGTGGACTCTAAAGTCCACTACCAAAACTCCTCATTGGTGGCTGAAAAACAGCGTCTCTCCAGTTCCCAATAACCTAAGCGGCTGGAAGGACCGCAGGATATCTATTAAAGGATATATATTAAATTTAATTTCATTTACAATTACTATAACCGTTTTATAATACTTACCGAAGCTAGATTAAGAACTGACTCCTTCATCCTCGCCAAACCGTACCGAGTGATACCCAGCACTTCCCCCCTCGCGGTCATCTGCCCGGCTAGTAGCTGCACGTGTCGTCGATCCACTGACATGCCGTGACCGGCCATCACACCTTGGATCTCGCTGATTATTGTAGACTTCGCTGCTTCGATGCCAAGTGTGTGGAACACCTGGAGCGAATAGGTAAAGGTGAAATAAAATATAACTCGGTTAATGAAAATCATCAATAAATGTAACTCGGTTAATGCAAATTGACCATAAATGTAACTCGATTAATGAAAATTGACCATAAATGTAACTCGATTAATGAAAATTGATAATAAATGTAACTCGGTTAATGCAAGACGACAATAAATCGACGGGGATAGTGCAATAACGCGTAACTAGCATTTCATTAGAATTCTCGGTAATTTAGTGGTCAAATCAAATACGCGTAAATGTCGTGGCATCCAAATTAGCGTGATTTACGGGAATCTATTGTTATGAGTCCTAAGACAACGTAAATTAATGCTTACTGTGAAAAAATGAAATCAGAAATCAGAAACATTTATTGTTTGAATGGTAAAATACAGGTGTTACTTACAAGTGATTAGATCTACAATTTTTACCCAAAATCAGGCATACAATGTCTTAAAATTACAATTTCTTAAGTATGTTGATCTGGCCTCTTGCATGCATTTATTGCTAAACACGGTCAGACAGTGCTTGTTTACGTTCCGATAGGTAATTAAGTAGTAGCTAATTAAGTCATTTGCTACGCCTCGAATACCACAGTTGTCAAGTTGTTTTAGCAAGAAGAGCTATAGGCCTGTAATATTCTGAGACTGAAAGACGTAGCCATTGAAATAACAAAGTAATAACGTTAAATCCCTCTCCTATGTAAGTTGGTTTGGTGCAGATATGCGCTTTTTACCAATACTACAAACCCTTGCACTATCCCCGACGGAATGTAATGAGGCTTAGTCAATGCAAATAGACAAGATATAACATTTCGGTTAATGTAAACCGATAACAAATGTAGTTCGGTAGTTGAAAATAGTTAATACATGTAATTAGCTAATGTATGATTCCCGCTGCGTTATACCATAATCCAAAAGAACAAAAAACCCAACCTTTGTCAGTCTGTCAATTGGCTAGCCGAATACAGTAGGCGAACATCAAAAAATATCGCAACAGCCAGTAAGTAACATTGATGGTAAACTGGCAATGATTTGTCCCACTACGATAATATCACTATTCCAAACTCATTTTTTTTTTTATTAAAGTGCATGCATACGGATGTTAGATAAAAAATTAAATGAAAACTCAAAGTACCTCCAAAATATTATTCGATGTGGTTTTCGTTCCATCGATCCCATAGGTTGCCATGACGTCACGCAGCCCGTCACCTTCAACGCACAGTTTATAACTGTAAAGGTGAAATATGTGAATGTAACATTGACCTACCAACAAATGGACGTGTCCGCGCTAAAAAGTGTCTAAACCTATCATTGACTTACAATTATATGGACGTCGGGTTCGCGCTAAAAAGTGTCCGAACTTATAGGGCGTTAAAATCGTATACAGAGCGTCATTCACGCTTTAGTCTTCGCTTGTTCGACTGACAGCGAAGCAAGCCAAATTAGACAGTACTGCGATGACATTACAATTTAAATTCAACGTTTTAGCTTTTTCATATTCCTTTACATGTCACTACGTTTAAATAGGTTGACTTGGGACATTTTTTTCGTGGTTTTTGTATTAGACCCGTCGTCCATTTATTTGTAAGTCAATGAAACCTATGGTCAATTGCGCGTCAGTCTTCGTTTGTTTGACTTACAGCTTGTCAATCATGCAGTAAAAGTACTCAAGTAAAGTGAAAAAACAGGATTTTCACTAAACAAATGTATTATCATAGTTATCACTTAAAAGAGTCATTTTGTACAGTTGCATAGTAATTAATTTATATTTAAAATAATGGTCAATATAAATTACGAATTGAGTGAATTTTGCCTTTTATTTCGAGCAATTTATCTATGAAGAATAATATAAACAAAAGAGGTAGTGTAGTGCCAAATTAAAAGTAAAAAAATGTAATAAGTACATTGACTTACAATTACATATATGGACGTCGGGTCCGCGCTAAAAAGTGTCCGCACTTGTAAGGCGCTAAAATCGTATACAGAGCGCGACACTCCGCTTTAGTCTTCATTTGTTCTACTGACAGCGCGATACTGCGATGACATTACAATTTAAATTTCGAATAGGTTGACTTGGGACATTTTTTTCGTGGTTTTTGTATTAGACCCGTCGTCCATTTATTTGTAAGTCAATGAATAAGTATATTTATTATCATACTCTCAGAATAGAAAACCTAGTCCAGGAAAAAATGTTTTTTTGTTGAATTTATTTTTTCATCTCAGGAATAATGGGTTTTTTACAACGCTTTGTCTCCAAATTTTCTAACTGAAAAATGTTATTATTCAGTGAATGAATTTTTTAATGATAAAGACATCGATTTAAAATATTAATGACTATTTTACGATCTAATATATGATAATTAAAATAAAATTCTCAGTTACATTGACCTAGAATTAATGTTGAATTGTTCGTATCTATTCATTTTAATTTTTATTTATTTATTTATTCATTTGGAACACCAACAGGTTATACAAAAAAAATCAAATTAAAAGACAACACTTGGTAAGGCACAGGTATCCACAGCATTCAATATATAGAGGCGTTTTACCTACCAATAAAACGCTTATTAATTTACTTTATTCGAAGCTTATATAAATTGAGATAGGCGCTACGTTTCCCGCCTTACATAGTTGTTTCTTTCTACCGGATATAGATATTTTTCTTATGCCTCTGTTTTGTTGATTACATTAAAAGAAATTTACTATTTGAAAATTTTTATTATTTAAATAATAATAGTTTACAACTTTTTAATCACATTGGCGTCTCTTGATGTCACCACCAGGCGATAACAAACAAGTCTCAATTTATATAAGCTTCGAATAACGGTGCAGTGAAATTAATAGAGGCGTTTTACCTACCAATAAAACGCTTATTAATTTACTTATTCGAAGCTTATACTTAAATCTTTGCCTGGCGAATTTTCGACTCAATGAACAACCAGAGACGACGACCTCTCTCCTCGAGAGGTCCCCACTACCCGGTGGTGGTAGAGAAAGAGCAAAAGAGATAGCTACATCCGGTAGAAAGAGACAACTGTATAAGGCGGGAAACGTAGTGCCTATCTCAATTTATATAAGCTTCGAATAACGGCACAGTGAAATTAATACCCAAACACAAAAATAATAATAAAATAAAAACAACTTTAAATATTAATAATCCAATTATTCATCAATGTACTAAAATTTATGGAAAATAATCGATTGTAAGATCGAAATAAATAGTTGATTGATGGAAACATGACAGTGCATATAAATGACATTCAAAATTACAAGTTACAAAGGACATACACAAAGGTGAGCTTATCTCTAGAAGAGATCTCTTGCAGCCAACCCTAGCCGTGGTGAATAACTAAGTCTGCGGGATATTATTGTGCAATATATTTATTAAAATTCAAATGTTAATAATCAACGACGTGAAATTTAGAGAAAGATAAAAGAAATGATTTTTTATATCTTGTGTTATTTACTTGTTAGTAATATAAATATTATAAATTGCAATGCCCCAACAGGGTTCATGTGCCGTCACTGTAAAAATTATAAAGATCAATTTGACAGAAATTTTTAATTTTTTGCGTCGGGGAGTTAAAAGATCCTGTCACTTACTTAGTAGGGCCTCCGGTGTCGTCGCACGCAATAACGGCTCGAGCAACCTGCGGCAGTCCTTTCACAACGATGTTAGGTAGATTTCGGCACAATTGATGCAGCGACATGTTGAGCCAGCCGCCGCCCTTCGCAGGCTCCGCGTGCACTTTGATTGCCCACTCGGATACAATCTGTATATTCGTTGGCTTTACTTTCAGTTTTGATGTGCACATCCTGGAAAAGTATCGACTTTTTAACCGACTTCAAAACAAGGAGGAGGTTCTAAATTAGACTGTTCTTTTTTTGTATGTAAGTTAGGCCTTGAACCGATTTTGATGATTCTTTTTTTGTTGAAAAAAGGGTACCTCAGCAGTGGTCCCATTTAGATTTGAAGAAAATATACCACTTCTAAGGGTGTCAAACTAGGAGATGAAAGGGAATGACTAATAAGGTCGGTCTTTCAAGTACTCTGTACTGATTTATAGACACAAAGAAGTATCATAGCCATCAACCAATTTTTTTTATGACACCAAGTGACGGGACGTATAGGTCATGCGCCTAATGGTAAGCGACACGCCTGTCCATAACCGTCGCAGTGTTACTCAGAGCTTTAAATCGCAAAGATCTGGGGCACTGCCACTGCGCCCGTCACCCTGAGACATGAGTTGACATGTCCCATGTGCCTGTAATTTCACCAGCACCCTTACCCTTCAAAACCGGAACACAGTAATGCTGCTAAATATACATTCAATATGTACTTTACATATGCCAACTATTATTTTTTATATGTCAACTGAACTAAATAAAACACGTGTACGCGCACTATAAGTTTCCGGAACTGGCCACTTACATAAACAACATTTAAAAAGTAATTACAAACAACATTTGAAAATGGAACTCTTTGGTTGTAGAATACAGTTTGTTTCATCTGACCGTCACTTATTTTTACATTGCGGCGTCATTTTAGAAATTGGTTGTCTACATCACCGCGTAGTATAGGTCTTTCGAGATGAACCGAAACCAACCAAAGTGGCGCGCGTGCAAAGTGCCTCTAAGCGGGTGATTGCTTCTTTTTTTAATAAAACTGGACACGTAGCTACTGTTGCTTTGGAGAATCGTTGTACCGTGAATAGTGATTGGTACACGACCATTTATTTGCCGGAAGTTATTGACAAACTCCGTAAAAATAACCGTAAACGCCGTATCATCTTGCACCACGATAATGCCAGTTCTCACACGGCCAGACAGACAAATTATTTTTTTAAGGTGAACAACGTTCACCTTATAAGCCATCCCGCGTACAGTCCCGACCTGGCACCTTGTGAATTTTATTTATTTCCAAAAATTAAGAACCCGTTACGCGGTCAACGATTTTCATCACCCGAAGAGGCTGTCGAAGAGTATGAAAAATATGTTTCAGAGATTGTCTAGGAGGAGTGGCATAAATGTTTTCAAAATTGGTTCATTCGTATGAAAAAGTGCATTAACGCTAACGGAGAATATTTTGAGAAACAATAAATTCATTTCTGACAATTTATAGTATTTTTTTCTTATTCATTCCGGGAACTTATAGTGCGCCACACGTAGTACACTATATACATTTTTCAAATGCCTCTAATTTCTTTTGTAAAAAAAATCATTCTGAAATAAAGCCAGTGTCCCTGCTCGAGCGGCAGGCAAAATGAACCGTATTTGTTGGATTTCACATCGTCTGTTTAAAGGTAAAACCACACAAGTGATATTTCTACAAAAAGTCTTTAAATAGCTATGGTAAGAAAAATCACTATCTTTCTGCAGGTGAAACTCAATAACAAAAAAGCTATAGACTCAATAAGTGGTTTTATCTGCAGAAAGATGGTGGTTTTCTTACAACGGGTACATAATTTGGAGATTTTTTGTAGATCTGTGGAATATCACTTATGTGGTTTTACCTTTAAGCAGACGATATTTTCTTTATTTTTGTATTGAACATTTATCAAAAATAGTATAGGGTACATCTTAGCACTTGCGAGGTCTTCCTTGCTTTGTATCCTCCATCCTCCCCCAACATGCTGTCGTCTCTTTCACCGGCCAATGAGTTGGCAACAAAAAAAAAACGATAGTCTAACCTATGACACTGTGTGCTTCAAAAAATGGCTAATTAGCGCGATTGTGTTTTTAATAGTTTATTTTGTTCGCAATATACTTTACTGTGCTCAGTAGTGAACCTGAGGATTTTTCCTCCCGTAGCGGCCGTATCCAGGTGGAATTGCTGCCAGTGCAACGAAAGAAAAGGTAAGAGTGCACGTTCCCATCATTTCCACTGTTCTTCGACCTACTACTACATACTTGTTCCAGTCCTTATAGGAAGCTACTTGCAAGTGCAGTTACTCGAAGTACAAGTACCTTTTAATGTAATTAAAAATCGCAAAAATGCAGTCCACTACTTATCGGTATTATAAATCTTCATTTCGCACCACCAGTATTAGTAGGGGGAAAATTTGAATTTGAACTGCGGTAGTATCGATTATTAAGAGATCAGAGAAGTAGAGCACTCACGAGTAAACGATAGACTCGACGCTGACTTCCAGAGAGAGCAGTCGCATTCGCTCAGCGTCCAGTGTTATGAGCAGAAAACATTCGTCGGGCAAGTACATCTCGTCAATATGCCTTGTTATCTGGAATTAAATAATTAGAGCGTAATTATGACAGAAGAATCGTATATAATGTATACATACTACATTATAGTACACAATATTATATACTCATAAACGTATTTGGGGGAAAACGGTAAAAAACATACGAAGATTACAAAGATATGACGCAAGCACATAGAAAAATTCGTGAGGTCCGGTGGTTCGTTCTGTGGCTTAGTTGGTATAGCGTCTGGTACGGTATGCCAGAAGACGTCGGTTTGAATCCGATCGAATCGAAGGAATTTCTTCTAGTTGTCCGATCTTTGTATTAATAATTATAACAAACTAGTGGAGTAATTTCACATAAAAGTAATTGAATATCAATTCAATAAAAATTTAAAACACAATGAATAGCGACATCTCTAGCCGGAGTTGGTAGCTGTAAAGGTATCTAACTGGGTGACGAAATGTCACAGATTTCTCATAGATGGCGCTACGGCTCAAAAGTCGTTGAAAAAAAAACCAAATACAAAGATACGACGCAAACCCATAGAAAAATTCGTGAGGTCCGCTGATTCGTTCCGTGGCTTAGTTGGTATAGCGTCTGACACGGTATGCTAGAAGACGTCGGTTCGAATCCGTCCGGATCGAAGGATTTTTTTGTGAGTGTTCGATCTTTGTATTAATAATTATAACGTTAAAAAAGGTTCAATTTTAGTAGCAGTAGGGCTCCTTGTGAAAGAGTTCGTCCAGGGAAGTATTTCTATCGCCGAGCAGTAATGTCCGCATTACTGTGTTCCGGTTTCGAAGGGTAAGGGTGCTGATGAAATTACAGGCACATGGGACTTGTCAACTTATGTCCCAAGGTGACGGGCGCAGTGGCAGAGCCCCCAGATCTTTTTATTAATTTATTTATACATTTCAGGAAAATTCACGGACAAATAATACAATTAATTATAGTATACTTAAATATGAGAATTTCCACCAACATGAAACAATATAAAGTGCTTAGCGAGCCAAAAAGAGATTATAAGAGAAGAAAAGAACACAGTCACTGAATTAAAAAATATATATATAAAAAAATATACTATTAATAGACAATCAAACGAACACATCAGTGTGTTCATCGCTTTAAAGCTCTGGGTAACACTGCGATTGTTATAAGCAGGCGTGTGGCTTACTACCAGGCGCACGACCCGTTCGTCTCACCGTTAGGTTTAATAGGGTAGTTTATTTTTATCTTGACCTTACCGTAATTTCATGCACAGCACGCGGTTGGTATTTGCTGCATACAAAACCACACGCATTTCAGGTAGTAACATCGACTATATAACCAGAAATAGAAACGAAATGTCATTTAATTTGTTTGAAAACTATTCTACCATACCATTACGGTATCAAAAATCGACCCGTTTAACTTGAGCTTTGCTATAATGGACAAAAATTGACATTTTGAATATTTAATTACCGATGAAATGTGATTCTGTTTGTTTTGTAATTAATGTTTAGCTGTTTTTCCCACAGCACCTTAGTTGTCTGTCGGATAACCTCATTACGAATTTTATCCTTCAGAGAAACTCCGACTCTAAATTGGTTGACTAGCCATATCATGAGTGTCCATGTCTCGGCTCCGTAAATTATAACAGCCAGGACGCACTGCTTGAAAACCTTGAAGACTCGACATAGCTTCCCAAACGCTGCCCATCACCCAACAATGCCTTCGAGTGGCATAGTCGTGAGGCTTGTATATGGCGTAGTAATCCACAGCCAACTGCTTTTGAAACACGTACCTCTCCTAGGGTTGTCTTCTCAATCCGCCCCTTAACTCTCCTAGCGAACTCCTGGTCAAACGGGTGCACCAATTCGGCTGTGATTATCGGAGTGGAAATGTTGCGAGACGCGTTGATGATTTCCTTCACCCGCGGTACTCCCTGGGTGATGTTCATGGAAGCGACGCCAGCGAAGTGGAAGGTCTTCAAGGTCATTTGTGTGCCAGGTTCGCCTATGCTCTGTTGGTAAAAATATACGGGATGTTCAAAAGTAAATTTGAAGAGTATTTATTATTGATAAAAAGAAAGAAAAATTTCGAACTGGACCCGAACCTGCTT